CACGCTGAGCCGACAAACAGCTGATCAGCTGTTTGTCAGCTCAGCGTGACAGCCATGTAAATTTAAATGAAGCCGCGATCATTTAAATCGCGGCTTCATTTGACTTTGCCAAAACAACAAATCTACATGGCTCCGTCGACGGAGCCATGTAGATTTGTTGTTTTGGCAAAGACAAATGAAGCCGCGATTTAAATGATCGCAGCTTCATTTAAATTTACATGGCTGCCACGCTGAGCCGACAAACAGCTGATCAGCTGTTTGTCAGCTCAGCGTGACAGCCATGTAAATTTAAATGAAGCCGCGATCATTTAAATCGCGGCTTCATTTGACTTTGCCAAAACAACAAATCTACATGGCTCCGTCGACGGAGCCATGTAGATTTGTTGTTTTGGCAAAGACAAATGAAGCCGCGATTTAAATGATCGCAGCTTCATTTAAATTTACATGGCTGCCACGCTGAGCCGACAAACAGCTGATCAGCTGTTTGTCAGCTCAGCGTGACAGCCATGTAAATTTAAATGAAGCCGCGATCATTTAAATCGCGGCTTCATTTGACTTTGCCAAAACAACAAATCTACATGGCTCCGTCGACGGAGCCATGTAGATTTGTTGTTTTGGCAAAGACAAATGAAGCCGCGATTTAAATGATCGCAGCTTCATTTAAATTTACATGGCTGCCACGCTGAGCCGACAAACAGCTGATCAGCTGTTTGTCAGCTCAGCGTGACAGCCATGTAAATTTAAATGAAGCCGCGATCATTTAAATCGCGGCTTCATTTGACTTTGCCAAAACAACAAATCTACATGGCTCCGTCGACGGAGCCATGTAGATTTGTTGTTTTGGCAAAGACAAATGAAGCCGCGATTTAAATGATCGCAGCTTCATTTAAATTTACATGGCTGCCACGCTGAGCCGACAAACAGCTGATCAGCTGTTTGTCAGCTCAGCGTGACAGCCATGTAAATTTAAATGAAGCCGCGATCATTTAAATCGCGGCTTCATTTGACTTTGCCAAAACAACAAATCTACATGGCTCCGTCGACGGAGCCATGTAGATTTGTTGTTTTGGCAAAGACAAATGAAGCCGCGATTTAAATGATCGCAGCTTCATTTAAATTTACATGGCTGCCACGCTGAGCCGACAAACAGCTGATCAGCTGTTTGTCAGCTCAGCGTGACAGCCATGTAAATTTAAATGAAGCCGCGATCATTTAAATCGCGGCTTCATTTGACTTTGCCAAAACAACAAATCTACATGGCTCCGTCGACGGAGCCATGTAGTTTAGACATACCCTCTGTCTGATGTGGCAAACCTTTTCAGGGCCATAGTCTAATTAGATTGTAGACTCTGCAGCAGGGAATTTGTCTGAGGCCTGGAAATGATACCACAATGTGAACAACAAACAAAAAAAAGCTGGTCTATGTAAAAATAATGTGTGGTTTCCTGCTAGAGGGAAGAAAACCCCACAAATACAAAAAGTAACCAAATGAAGAACTGATGTACTGGGAAATAGCATACCATTTAATGAACAGGACAGTGGATAATAGGCCTTATAGCCTAACAGATACTGTTAAGTAGTTCAGAGGAGTTGGGAACACTTAATGCACAGAGAAGATCAGTATTGCCCTTTGTGCACTTCTTCTATCCCCCTACTAAATTAAAGAGAAACGTCCATGTCAGGCAAAGTTTAAAAGCACATTACATTTCAAACATCTGTAGCTATTCTAAAAAATAAGTGATGAGACATTCGGTGTGAACCTAGCACATTATGAAGGCTCTCTCTTCCCAACAGATTGAGCCAAACCTTCCCTAAACTCACTGAAAAACCTAACTGCACTGTGCATGGGCATAGCAACAGGCCAACTCTTCCTTCTGAGCACAGCCCTTTCTCCCGTGTTGGTAGGAGTTTCTTGAAAGAATGGAAAGCAAACAGGCAATCTTTCTATTATGGTTGGAGAGTTTCCTTCAGAAAGAGGTTTTTTTATTTCTGTCCACAGAGACAGTCATCCACTACCGTGTAAACTTTCTGAAACAATTATGGGTTAGATAGTCCCATGCATGGCTGGAACTAAGGCATCCTCTGCCCTTACTTTTCCCAGCCCTTCCAGGTTGTGACTTTGCCACGGTGTGACAAACAGGTGCTACTTGTTCGCTACTCCCCATTGCAGAGGAACAGGTTGTGCAATGAGCCCTGACAGATCCACCAGGAAAAGAGTAGCCTGCTGGTCACGCAAGAGGAAAGAAGCTGCTCCACAAAACAGGGTGAAGCAACTTATTCCACTCCTAGAGCATGCAAGGAGTAAGAGAAGAATTAGAGTGTTCCAGGTCACAGTTCATTTGCTGGTCTGCTCCTGGGATGATACACGTATGAGCCTTGCTTTATATGGAACAGACCAGAAGATCACAATCTAGCAGCAGGTAAACAGGTGTAATAAATGCTTCTTTTGCAAAGATAATGCACAAATTTTAAGAAGCAAAATCTACGGTGTGTCTAGCCACATCTCATCACGCATTTCATTACCTTTTATACTTATCCCTCAAACCCTTTTGCAATGCTTACTGCTCCTCGTGTCTAGTATTTCACTAACCCAGGAGACTACTAAAATAGCTCAAGTTTTCAAAGCATTGCTCTTATTAATATCTTTGTGTCATCAAATAATAAATACATAACTTTCATACAGAACTTTTATCCACAAAACTCAAAGCTCTTTACAAAGGAGAAGGAACTGATCACCTGCACTCATGGCGCACACAATGGGTTACAAACAATGAAGTTGCAATAACAAAACAGTCCATTTAGCTCAGTGGCCATTTAGTCCAGAGTCCTGATCCAAACCCCAGTTAAGATGAAATTCAAAGACTCCCATAAATGGGATTTGGATCAGGCCCCAAATTATTAGAGAAAGCATTAAAAAAAAACCAAACATTTATGCAATGGCATGTCTATAGCCTTAATCTCTTCTTAACCATAGGCAGCTAATAGTTGTCCTACAGCCTAAATATAAGGCTTGATAATCCTTATGCCTTTTGATCCTAGCTCTTTATATAGTCTTTAGGCCATTCATTAATGTACATGCGATAAATATTACAGATACAATATTAGCTATGTAAAACCTAGGTTCTCTTTATTATTCTGTACCTCCATGTTGCCCCTTATTCATGCTAAGCAGAACCTTTTTCCTATTTCATCTTGACCATGACTCAGAAAGCTAGAGTACATCTGTTCAGAGAAAGCAAAGAAAAAAACAAACTAAAATGTATACTTTATGGGCATGTCTACATTAGGAAATTATTTCAAAATTTCAAAATAACAACTCCCAAAATAACTATTTTGAAGTAGCATGTCCACACTATAGGGAAGCCTCGAAATTAGTCCGAGGCAGGCACCCTTAATGTGGACGCACTACCTTGACTTACAGCCCCAGGAAGCACTGGGGCGTAATTAATTTGAATGACTCTGGGGAGTAGTTATTTCAAAATAGCAGCAGGGGAGCATCCACACTACTGCTCTTTCGAAATAACAATTATTCCTCATGGAAAGCAGGAGTTATTATTTCGAAACAACAGGCTTGGTAGTTTGGATGCTCCAATTCTGATTCCAAATAAGGGGAGTTATTTTGGAATAACTCCCTAGTGTAGACCAGGGCTGTAAGAGCTCCCTATGTCACAATTATTAGTCCATTTTCCATGTAAGAAATTATGAGACATGTTCCAGTCATAAGTCTTTCCCAGACATCATAAAGTTGAGATTTTTTAAGTTAAAAGTATGGTTAAAAACAGTAAATTCGTATATAATGTTTTTACATGTTTTAGTGAAATCAGATGTATTTTTTTAAATGTAACCAGCAAAAGTGCACCTATTTCTAATTATAAAAAATTCCTTTTATTTTAATGTGTCCCAAATGTATTTAATTTAATCCTACCTGTGATCTAATTAAAAATTAGTGCTATAAAATGTTCCACAAAAATTGTATGGGTCAAATTCTCCAATGAGATTAGGTCAGGAGATAATTGGACTCTATAAATTTAAACTGCTGCTACCCTCCTATACTCTCTTCTGTGGCAGGTACCCAAGAGTCTTTGAAAGTCTGATCCCATCCAGAGAGCCACAGTTATTTTTGGGATGTCTGTTGAAATCACAGCTTCTTGGGCAATAAATGTAATGCTGGTCTGTGTAACAAAACCTGGGTTCTCTGGAGCTTAGTGCATGAGCCTCTTCTGCTTGAGCTAAAAGCCAGCTGGCTCTCAGAGAATGCTGTAGAGCAAACTCATTATTCTTTCCTTAAGTGGTCTTGGTGCCACTACAGGGGACAGTACAGCACACCCAGAAGGTGGGTGGTTTACATAAGCACAGTGGGTGTAAAATCGAACTGGAAGGAGCAGACCACCAAGACTGTCCAGGATAAAGAGGGTCTAGTTTTGTTAGATGTGAGGGAATTTTGAAAACATTCCTGTTTTGTTCCCTGTCTTCAATCTTTCTCAAACTTCCACAACAGTGCATGGTTTTGTTTCGCATTTAAAAGCCACAGGATCCCAGCAAAGAGACGCTCACAGCTGCTGTTGTGAAGGGAACTGTGGTCTCCACCGTGCAAACGAGTCAGGACATTCAGGAAAGTTTGCAGCGATATGGAAGTGTAGTTCAGTCTGAGGGACGAAGTATTTAGTATTGTTTAGGTGTAAGTGTAGTTCAGTCTTGGTCCCCATGTGGCCCGTGAGCCCGGCCCTTTCGTCCACTCAGAAAAGCTGCATGGAACCCGCACCACCAGCCCAACGTGGGCCCGGACCTGACTAGGAGGAAAGTTGCACCAGCTCTTAAAGGGGACACTCTGCCCGACTGCGGCCGGTAGCAGCCCCTACGCAAAGCCCATTGCATCCTCCCACCCTCCCTCTCTCGGGCCCTCCCGTCTCCCCTTGCCCGAGGCTGACCCTGGTGCTGCTCGGCCTCTGTCCGAGGCTGGCGGGGCTGGGGAGGGGAAGGGTTAAGGGGGCAGCACTGACCTGCAATGGGCACGTCGGGAACCAGCTTGAGGGGACCGATCTGC